AACTTGTGTTTGATGTAAATTTAAAGTGAATTATGATTAAGCTCTAGATTCTCCTTCTCGATGGACCATGGTGACACACAAAATGAATAGCGGATGACCGGCCAATATTTATCTTAAATCTGGTCACTGCCTTCTTGCCTCTTTACTTCTTGGGCTATGACATAAATGCAATTATGTAGTTAGGCCAAACAAAATCATAAAAGTTTTTGTTAAAGCCAAACTGGTTGTATCTCCAGGAATCTGTTTGCCACCTAAGTTGTGTTTTCACTATAAAAGGGTCTAGAGAAAAGGTAGTGGGCAGACAGACCCTTGTCAGCACTTCAGCATATGTGCTGTCTGTCTCCACGAATCCGCTGAATAAAGGCTTGTCATTTAGGTCACTGAGCCTCCAAGTGCATTTTCTTGAACTAAGGCCTTTTACAGTTACGAATCAGGCTACTAATCCCATGGTTAGCAGTTTGAAACTACCAGCTATTCCACAGGAGAAAGATGAGACTTTCTGCTCCTGTAAAGATTTACAGCCTCAGAAACCCTATGCAGGGTGGCTATGAGTCAGAACCGACTCCACAACACATAACAACAACAACATTGCTATAAATGCATGAAGTGACTGATTTGACAAATTTTCATGGGTGTGCTTGGTTTTAGAATGAGGGGGTCAAGGGAAAATCCCCACTGACTAGTTTTGCTCTTTTCCAGATGGGTCTGGTGAAAAGAGGGTACAGAATGATACTGATAAGATTTTATTATTTCAATTGTAATTGTTAGTAGTATTGGTTGTGATTGTCAGAACTGTAATTGTAGAAGATATGTAGCTAAAAGGAGGGAATAGTTACTTTTCATTTCAGGAATGGACAATCCCAGGACATCAAGAAGGAAGAGTGTGAGGGGCCTCTGCCTGAAGAAGTAGCCACAGAAGAGATGGTGGCAGAAGTGGTAATATGGCTCAGATATGGACTCTAGGCCTATGGACTGAATGAGGTTGTGTGCCTATGAGCCAGAGATTGGCTTTTGGACATTTATGTGTGCATCAAATATTTATGATTTATTCATTTGTGATATATAAGGAGGAAATGGGACCAGTGCATTTTCGTTTGTACATGTTTTAGTTATATTATGTCAGGCACAAGTATGATGCAACCTAAT